CCTGTCCATCAAGATCACGCTCAGCCTGGCAGCCAAGCTCTTCCGCTCCTCGCTCTCCCTCTGCCGCGACTCCTTCTTCTCCCCCGCCCTCCCCGAAGCTGAAGTCAAGCGCTACCAGGCTCTCCTCTCCGACAGCAGCAAGCTGCCGCTGTTCGATCTCAGGCTGCTCAACGCCTCCCTCCCCGTGGCCATGCCGCCGGCCTACTGCCCGCCTGTCATGGTGCTGGGCGCTGCTGATGACGTCATCGTGGTGAGTGGGTAGCAGTGGCTTGATGGCTTGATGCCTGCCTCCTGTGCTGCTATGCCTGGGGGCGCTGGGGGCACCCATCCCTCATCCCTGCAACCCCTCATTCCCTCGTCGACCCCATCCCTGCAACCCACCATCACTCACATGTCTCCTCACCATCCCCTCATCCCTCCACCCCTCCCCCACTAACCAGGTCGACCAGGGTGTGAGGGAGACAGCAAAGCCCTCTTCTGTGCCCAGCCCACTCCTATTCTTCTCCATCCCCCCATCCCTGCACCCCACCATCCCCCACCCCGCCATCTCACCCCCAAAAACCAGGACGACCTGTGCGTCTAAGAGGCAGAGAGGCAGTGGTGCTACCAGGCATGCCACATGACATGATGCATGGACCTGGGATGGAAGGATGGCAGGATGCCCCACTCTCCTGTGTCTCCTCATCCCTGCATCCCCCATCCCTGTATCTTTCCCCGGCAAACAGGACGACCAGGGCGTGAAGGAAACAGCGGAGTTCTTCAGCACAGAGGCAGTGGTGCTGCCAGGCATGCCGCATGACATCATGCTTGACCTGGGATGGAAGGATGCTGCCGATTCCATGCTCCAGTGGCTCGCCAACCACGGAGCCATCCCCAAGCAATAACACTCAGAGCTACTAATACCGTACTGTAACATTCTATGTGTGTATTGTGGCCTTTTACTGTAGAAGGATGCTGCTGATGCCATGCTGCAGTGGCTTGCAAGAAATGGGACCATCCCCAAGTAACAGCATGACACATGAAGTTATGCAAGAACCGTAAGGTTCTGTGTGTGACTCAATTTGCTCGTTGTGGAGTGTATATTGACACCTTCACAAACACTGTGTGCAACATGAAGCATACTCCGAAGGCACTTGGTGGGAGTGAATAGAGTGAGCTCCCTGGTTTCATGCATTCAGGCAAAGAGGTATACATCGCCTTGACTCCACAGCATAGCTTTTGATACAGTAATCCCGTTGCCTCAATTATTAAAAATTTTAAACACACATTGTGTTTTTTAAAATTGTGTATTGTGAAAGCGAAGCTGCTTGTACTGCACAATTGGTATCGTCGAAGTGCGCTAAACGCCCTTCTCCAACTACAAAACCGTGGTTGGAGTTCATTTCCCTCCACCCACGTTTCTCGATTTTCAAACGGCTCACTCAACATTTCCGCTCACGTAGTTTATCCCTCCGTCCAAGCTGGCTAGAACAAAATCGCTTTTTAGAGGCGAGTCACCTTCGACTTTACTCAACGATATATTTAACTTCAATCGCTCAACGATGGCACCGACGTCGACACTTAACAACGGGAACTCGTCCAACCCTGCCTCCGACAACGACCGTAACACCCGCGATTTGGCGGGCGAATGCCGTAACAAGCGACAGGCAGAAGATGGACCGCCCGCCCCAACTGCAGTGGACGTGCTGCTGGGCGGGCTCGAGGTCAACAATTCGGCCAACGCCCAGCAGCACCCTTCGGCGCCAGTGGCACCTGCGGCGCAAGTGGCGACGGCCGTTGGCGTGGCACACGCCACTGACGCCGAGCACACGCCAGCACCCGCGGCTGGACCATCGCGTCAGCGCCAGAGGAGGCGGACGGCGGTCTCCTCGTCTGACGCGACGACCGCCCCTGCGTTGACGCAGGCGTTGACCCCGAACCAGGTCAACGCGCTGCTGTCCCTTCTACAGCAGCAGCCCGTCAGCGTTACAGCCGCGGAACCTGCACTACCTGCTACATCTGCGTCGACTAAAAAAGAAAATGCGAAAAAGGAAAAAGGCGCGCGAGGAGCAAGGACCATCCGGCACGACAAGGACGCAGCAACAGCAGCACCCCCCGCTCCAGCGGTCGACAACGACACCGACGACTCTGAAGATGAAGCCGGTGAGGCTCCAGTCAACAATGTTAATTTTAATGGCACGGAACACCTTCCCCCCCTCCCTTCTTCTAACCTCACCTTTTCGGCGGCAACATTCGTCAACGACTCCGTGCGAGAACGTGCTGGAAGACTTGCGCGCGTACCTGCTGCACGCGGAATACAAGGCGCAGCGCGGAGACCCAGCGGGCGGACTCGAACTCATCTCGCACGCTCTCAACCTCATCTCCGGGCATTTCGAGGTGCTTCAAGTGGAGGACGCCTCCGACTTCCCCACGGCGAAGCGCTTCAAGTTGTACCAGCAGAAGAGCCTGCTGACTTCTCGACCCTTCAAGCAGGCGGTCGCGGACATGGCGGCAATGGACCGTGCGGCAAGCGGATATGCTCGTGTCAACCGCGGCGGAAACAACGCGCCGTTACTGTTTTTACCCAAGCGGGGCCCCCCGCCCACGGCCAATTGCCGCGGGTTTCGGGGCTCGTGCTTCCGCTGCGGCCAGTCGGGTCAGGTGGCAAGTGCCTGCCCTAGGAACGGGCACGGTGGCCAAGGACCCGCTCCGGTGGTGTAGGAGCGGGCCATGGGAATAGGCGCTAGAGCGCTAGGCACGGTGCACTCTTGAGTGCGAAAACCGTGGGCAACCCTAGGGGTTTGCGATGGCAAGAGGCCAGCCCTAGTGAAGGGTAGGAATAGGTTTTGGGCCTAGGATAGGGAAGGGGAGCAGCAACCCCCTCGGTCCCATGTAGTTGGCCACTCGGTGGCGTGATGCATGCTAGGAGAGCATTGCTATGTGTGTTGGTTGATTTAATAAAAACTACCTTCTTAAAAGCCTACTGTTTTTGGCCTTCGGCCGCGCGTGAGGGGTGGCAAGGCAACAGTTGCATTGATACAAACACACCATACAAACATGCAGCACTAGTAGGGCCCTAGCAACGAGGCCAAGGTAAGCAGGATAGTCGGGGCGGGAGAAGATGGGGAACAAGAAGGCACAGGGCAAGGCCCAGCAAAGGCAGATTGTCACACGTGATTCAGCACGTAAAACCGCCGCGGAAGCCAGCAGAGCAAGGACGCGAGCGCGGGCACAAGCTGGAGGGGAGCCTGTTCGGCAGCCATGGCTACTCTGCGGAAAGCCCTCGCGCCCGGCCCCTCGTTCTCGTCAGGGCGATCGGACTCCAGAGGCAAACGGAGGAGGCGCCTAAGACCCTGCGCCGCAGCTTCACGCACAAGGCCCTATTGGGGCTCCGTCAGCTGGGGATCTCGGAGGACTAGATTCCGCGCCTCCAGACTAGCATGCAACTGCTCCAGTGCGGTCGCAACATGGGAGAGACACTCGCCAACCCCGATCATGCGCCACTCCCAGCGAAGCACGTCCAGAACGAAATCGGACCGGATGTCCCAGTCCCGACCCCACAACGTTCCGAACTGGGGAGGAGACTCCCACGAATCGCCGTTCCACCACGCCTCGTCGTCTTCAGGATCAGGTGCGTTGGGAGGAAGCGGAGGAGAATGGCAACGAGGAGGAGGGAATCGAGCGACAGGGGAGGGGTCGAGTGGAATCAGAGGATGTAGCCGCTGAGGAGGATCACCAGGGGAACTTGCAGACGGGGTGGGCGGCACCACGGCAGGAAGCACAAGAGGTGCCCCAACCGCGGCCGCCTGCGACGGGGGAGCCGGAGGAGGTGGCGCACGCGCTGCCGGGGGGAGATTGAGTCACCGGGATGGCGGGAGGAGGTGGAGGAGCCAATGGCGTTGACGGCGCCGACTCAGCGGGCACGGACGATAGCTGCTGGGACGACTTGAGAGATGCTGATGGACAACGCCGCGGCGTCGGCACCAAGAGGCGGTGACTGCGCGTCGGACACAGGGGCCCGACAATCTCTCACTGGACAGCGGGAGGGTGTCGAGGCGGACGGCGACGTCGATAGGAGCCGCCACGAGCCCGGAGATGTGGATGGGTCCGCCCGCGGGGAGAGCGATAGACTGGCTCGTGACGACGGGGGGAGGAGCCGGCCTCCTCGTGCGCGACCAGGCAGCGGCGGCTCGGAGCAGGGCTGGCGCCAGCTCGCCCCGGGCCTGTGAGTGGCTGGGAGTAGCAGGAGAACCAACCGAGCGGTCCGATCGAGAGGAGGATCGACGCTTGCCAGTCATCGCCACGAGGCCTCCAGGCAGAGGGAGGTGAGGGAGAGGAAAATCGTGTGGCGGAGCATCTCGAGGCGAACGAGTACAGGGGGTAAGAGGGGATAGCGTTGTGATGGCAGCGTGGCAAAGTCGGAGAAACGAAACTAGCCGACAAAGGACCTTACGCGAGCGGGCGGAGGGGAGGGCGATGGGGCAGCAACCGCGAAACGCGGCGGGACGCACGGCCACACGGGGGCGCGGGAGGGCCGGGGCAGGGGGGGACGGGTGGAGAGGTTGGTGAGATCCGTAGCGAGAGAAAAAGCCAGAACCGGAAATTGGTGGGAACGGCATGGGAGGCCAGAAGAGGAGAAGGGAGAACCAATGAATGTCGCCGCAGAGGAAGAAGAGTCGGAATATATGGAAGAGGAAGAGGCTGAATCGGAGGAGGTGTCTGTGGAGGCCGAAGACGGGATCCCAGCTGGCAATGAGGGCAGACGGCGACGTGGCGGACGCCGAGGACACGACGGAAATAATCCTAACGGGGCTGGATAGGTGGGCGAATCACCAGCCCAACAGACTAATGAATATGCCAGCAAAGAGCGCTCACCATATGACATCGCGGACGATGATGACACATGGCGGACGGTGGAGAGTTGGGACCTAGACCCATTGCGAGTTAGTTCCCAACCATTCTTGGTCAGGAAACTTCCCCCGGAAGAACTGAAGTCGTACAGTCACTGCCTCACGATTCCCCTACTGCAACTCTCGAAACATCCGGGCTGCATGGGCGCGTGGAGGGTGCTCCAATTCCTGCCTCGGCTTACGCTGAGGGCGAGCACAGAGAAATTTCCGGGAAACAGCCTCGACGCGGTGAAGAAAAGACTTCGACAATTCCGAGATGAAGAGTGGGGCTCACTGTACCTCCAAGCCTGCACAATCCTCGACATTTCCAACCAAGCAGACACGAGCCTGACGCAGAAGGCATCTGCGCAAGGGTAGAGGGATTGGTCCGGAAGGCCAACCTGGCGAAAGCTGCGGCAGCATTACGAACCACTCTATTAGCGGAGCCGTCGCAACAAGCACTGGAAACACTCCGGGCGAAGCATCCGCGAGCGGAGATGGCGATACAGGAAGGGCTAGGGGGTTACGGTGAAACAACACTCGCCATTGGCACAGAGTCGTTCCGCGACATCCTGGCGAAGTGCCCGAACGGAATAGGAGCAGGCCCGTCAGGCACTTGTTTCGAACACCTACGGGACCCTACTCTAACAAACGGGGAGGTATTCTTACTGCTGCACCAGATAGTTAATAACCTACTCAGCACGTACTAGGACGCGCCGCTGAGGGAGCTGCTGCTACCATCGATGCTAATCGCACTGGAAAAACCTGACGGGGGAGTAAGGCCGATAGCGATTGGGGAGGCACTCCTTAGACTCACGGCAAAGGCGGCGCTCCGGGAGCTGTCAGGGGAAATTCGCTCACACTTCCTACCAGTACAATACGGCGTGGCCGTACCGTGGGGATCGGAGTGCATAATACACACGGCTCGTACGCTGCTGGCGGAGGACCCGACGCGCACGATATTACAGCTCGATATTGAAAACGCTTTTAATTCGGTCGAACGTGGGAGTTTTCTGTCGACACTGCTTTGGACCGGCGGACTGAGCTCACTGCTGCCATTCGCTAGAACCCTCTATGGCACGCCGTCGAAACTACTACTGGATAGAGGCTTCACTGTCAGCACACATTAACAGCGCCCGGGGCGTCAGACAAGGAGACCCGCTCGGCCCCATGCTATTCGCTGCAGCCATACAACCGGCCCTGTTGGAGGCGGCGATGGCAGTTCCGGGCGCGACAGTGATGGCGTACGCAGACGACATCACTGTCATTGGCCAGCCGGCGGCCGCGACAAGGGCGTTCAATATGATAGTCCATGGGCTCGTCGGTCTAGGACTGCGGTGCAACCTCACCAAGAGTCGTCGGCCTGGAGCCCCACGGGTAACACAACAGACCTGCTGGAAGGATTGGCGGCGGCGGTGGACGGAGTGCAAGTCCTTGGGAGCCCCATAGGCACAGTAGCATACTGCAGGCGCACCGCTTCGAGCATCGCTGGAGCGGATAGCCCTCCCGCTGAGCCTAGTCAGCAAGCTCCACCCACAACACGCGATGCTGCTCCTGTCGCGCTGCATATCACGCAGAATCTCCTACCTCCTGCGCACTACACCGGCGGACACTCTCCCCCATCCGGGAATGGCGGGGGTGGAGGCGAGAGGCTGTTGCGGACAGCACTGAGGGCGGCCCACATCAATGTACCCTCCAGGGAGCTAGAACAAAGCCTGGTGTGGAGGCAGGCGACGCTACCGATCGCGCTGGGCGGTGTGGGGGCTGATAGACCCATTGTTAGAGGCACCGGGCGGCATACCTGGCGTCACTAAGGGCAGCACAGATGCTGCTTGCAAGCAAATGCCCGGCCCTCGCCAAACCACCAGCTTTCCGCAAGTGGCCGTCGCTGGTGTCCCCGCTTGGGGAGGGAGTGGCAGGAAGGGAAGGGGAAGCAATACCGGGACCTGCGGAACAGACTCCCCGAGGAGGCGCGGGAGCTGCTAGGGGAGCCGGGTGTCAGCGGGGGAGGACCGGGGGACGCCTGCAGGAGCATACTGTCGCATCATATCAACCTGAACGGACAGCGGAGCTGGTGGGCGACACACGGATGGATAAGCCGGGGGGAAGACATGGACACGTGGTGCGGTTGATCAGCCTGCAGGGAGTACGCGCAGGGGATTGGCTCAACGCCATCCCCACACGGGCAGATCTGACGTTCTCCCAGCCGAGTCAGTTTGCCTTGGCTCTGGGGTTCCGCTTGGGACTTGGCGCTGTCGGTGACGGAAAAATGGCCCGTGCCAGGGGGAGCGAGGGGAGATTGGGGACCTGAGCCTACCGAACAATCTGCTGCGGTGCGGGGAGGGGAAAGAGAGGACGAACACACACAACAACCTCGTGTATACGGCGCTCCGCATGGCCAGGGAGGCGGACTACCTTACCCTGTATGAGACCACGGTCTACTCGCAACCAATCAACCCCAAGCGAGCAGACCTGGCCATCAATGACCGGGAGTCGGCCGAGACGTATTTATGGACGTCATAGTGACGGACCCGGTCCTGCAGCGCCGGGACACTAGGGCAGTGAAGCCCTCGAGCTGGGCGGCGGAGGATGCGACCAGAACCAAACGAGGAGTGTATGAGGGACGGCCGGATTTTGTGGGGGTGTTGGGGCTGGCGGTGGAAACATACGGAGCCCTAGCGCGCGACACACAGAGGTTCCTCAGGCTATTAGGCAGACAAGCGGCTAAAGAGAAATTTAGGTAGGGGAGGCTTACCACTGTCACCGATCCAAACTCACAGCTCACTACCGCCAGCGCTGGTCGGTAGCGCTGCAGAGGAGCCAGGCAAAACGCTTTCCTGGCAAAGTCTAATCGGGCCATAGAGAGTGCCTACCCACAAGCGGCAAGCTGACCCATGGAGAGCCCCGCCTGGGGGACCTGTGCCAAGTCATTGAAGATGACTTGGACTGTGGGCCAGCTCTGGAGGCGTGAGGGGCTGAAGTAAGGGGGCCCCGAGGCTGAGGTCCCTAGGTGCTAGGCTCACGGCAGGCCACGGCTAGCAGACCCAAGCTAGCTTAGTTATTATATGTTGATACTTGCTTGCATGAGCGCTTGCTGGCCTACATGATACCTAGACGGTATGCTAGGGGATTGCTTTGCTGCTTCATCATGTATGGCTTGTACCCCTTTATATATAATAAAGGACCGCCTGAGAGAGAGAGAGAGAGAGAGAGAGAGAGAGAGAGAGAGAGAGAGAGAGAGAGAGAGAGAGAGAGAGAGAGAGAGAGAGAGCGAGAGAGAGCGAGAGAGAGAGAGAGAGAGAGGGAGAAAGAAAGAGAGAAAGAGAAAGAACGAGATACAACATGGTGGGCACGCATGTCCATGATTCTACGCACCAGCCCCCATGAACTACGAGTAAGAGAGAGCATGAAAGAGAGAGGGAGAGGGAGAGAGCAAGAGAGAGAGAGAGAGATGAGAGAGAGAGAGAGAGAGAGAGAGAGAAGAGAGAGAGAGAGGGGAGAGAGAGGGGAGAGAGAGAGAGAGAGAGAAAGAAAGAGAGAGAACGAGAGAGAATAAGAGAAACACAATGGACAAGTGTGTCCATGGCCATAGGCATCATCTCCCATGCACTAAGGGCAGGCAACAACCACATCCTACCGAGTGCACGATGGGGCGAGGAAAAAAAAAAAAAAAAAAAAAAAAAAAAAAAAGGTGGAAACGAGGAGAAGAAGAAGCGTCGTTTCGCGCCTGACACATTCGTTGACATTTCCGTCGGTTTTTTTATTTTCTTCACACATTTGATCAATGGTTGCCCATACATGTACATGCACACGCATGCTTTAACATGGAATACTCAACCCGTTATACCACTTGGCCTCCAATGTACAGGAGCACGACGGTGCGAGGGCGGCATGCTACGATAACCCGTACGAATTTGCCATTACAAACAGAACTATTTCACAGATGCGCGGACGTCTTCGCGCGACCTTTGCGTGGTGGAGCTCATGGTGCCCTAGCAACCTCGTTCTCTCCGTCATCGCCAAGGGTTACTGGTTTCCATGGAGCCATGGCCCACCACAACCTTTCCAACGATCGCAATCATGTCGGGGCAAACACGCATGCCACGTTCACACGTACCGCCATCCAAGAACTCAGACGGGAGCGGCAGTTCCGATGGCCGCAACGGAGCTTAAGTGCATAAGTCCACTTAACGTGGTCGAGCAAAAAGACAAATGCAAGGCTCATTCTTGATCTGAGGAAAGTCAACGCCAACTTGATTGTCCCCAAGTTCAAGTACGAGGGGCTCAGCCGTGTCGCCGACCTGGCGAGCATTGGGGACTGGATGTTCTCCATTGACCTCAAATCTGGTTACCATCACATCGACATCCACCCATCGTGCTGGAATTTCCTTGGCTTTGAATTCGATAGGCGCACATACGCATTTCGTTCACTACCATTCGGCCTCGCGACGGCTCCATTCGTCTTCTTGCAGCTCATCAAGCAGCTAGCTTGGCGTTGGCAAGAACAAGGCATCCAAGTCGTACCTTACGTGGATGACATCTTATTTCTCTGCCGGTCGAAAGCCGATGCGCAAGCAATCTGCCAGCAAGTGATATTGGACCTCAAAGAGGCAGGTCTTGTGATAAACGCGAAGAAATCAACAACTGTCACCATCGCAACATCTCCGATTCCTGGGCATAGAACTGGAGACCGACACCGGCCGATTCTCCACCGTCCCGATCGACGAGCCTCACTGCATGCAACCATCCGAAACCTCCTAAGCGCAAGCAAGGCATGCCGACCAGTCCCGGTCCGCCACGTGGCCAGAATCACTGGCATGCTTGCATCGATGGGTGTCGCACTTGGCGCGACCGCTCGTGCATTCAGCCACGCTATGTTACAAATGATCAACGAAGCAGCGTCATGGAAAAGAAGCATGGTTATCCTCCCATCTGCAGCAGAGGAGCTCCAATTTTGGCTCGAGGAGTTTGACCGTTTCAACGGCGCACCTTTTCACATCAGGAACAGCTACGACGCGGTAATCCATGTGGATGCTAGCTCTCATGGTTGGGACGCCACTGTGACCACATTTTCGGGCGGCCTCGAAGAAGCTAGCGCAACCATGTCAGAGCCGCTACGAGGAACGTCCAGCACGCGACGGGAGATCAAAGGCGTCCTTTGGGCGCTCCAAACATACGCGAACAAGATCAAGCAAAAAACACGTTCTCGTGCGGGTGGACAACCAGGGCGTGTTCTTCAACCTTCCCAAAGGCGGCTCTCACAGCCCCGACCTCACAACGGCATGCAAGAGCATCATCCGAACATGCATGGAGCTTGGCACGCGCTTGATCATCGAATGGATTCCGCGCGAGCTCAATATACACGCCGACGAAAAAATGGTCGACCACGACGATTACGCGCCTGAAAACACTGTGGTTCCGCATCTTGGGACGTCGTTGGGGGCCCCACTCCATCGACCTCTTCGCAAACTCCCGCAACACCCAACTGCCGCGCTTCTGCACAAAGATTCTCCACCCAGAAGCCATCGCAGTTGATGCGTTCTCGATCGCGTGGACACTCGAAAACAACTTCGCCTTCCCCCCGCCCCAACTGGTCCCAGCCGTCCTCCATCACGCACAATGCACCCATGCATCACTCACACTAATAGTTCCGCACTGGCCAGGCGCAAGCTGGTGGCCACTTTTGCAACCCTCCCTATGCACTTGGGCTCCACACATCCACGCGCACATCTCTCTGACACACGAAGCCAATGCCTAGACGCAGGGTCCCATTCCAATGCTTCTTCAGACATGGGACTACCGCACAGCCCAATTATTGTACTGAGAATGACATTTGACTAATTCAAAATATCTACGCCTTGTGTTCAGATTTGCTCCCAAAGTTACACGACCAAATGATTAACATGCTCGCGCAATCTCGCGCCGTCTCTACGATCCGGACATACGAACCATACTGGGCCAAGTTTCGAGCCTTCTGCACAAAAGTGAACCTCCCATTTCTTCCGGCATCCGACATGACCCTCGCGCTCTACCTGGTACAGACAATCCGACGCAAAGCCACCCTGTCCGTAGTCCAGCTGACGTGCTCGGCGGTCAGCTTCGCTCATCGCATGACTGGGAGCAAATGCCCGACAACCGGACCGTTCACCACCCAAGTCCGTGACTGTGCAAAACGACACTGCCCTCGCCCTACTCGTATGAAGGAACCCGTATCGATCCAACAAGTCCGGGACATGGCCGCGTGTTACTTGCAGTCCGACGATCCCGTGACGTTTCATAAAGGGTTGATCCCCATCCTCATGTACTCAGGATTCCTGCGATATTCTGACCTGGCAGCCATAAAATGGCAAAGACATCCAATTCGACGACGAGGTCATGTGGATTCTCATACCACACTCCAAGACCGATCAAGCTGGTCATATCATTTGGATTCCCGCAGCAACGACAGACCCCTGTTGCCCAGTGCGCTGCACGCGACGCTTCATCCAACTGGCCGGCTATGGCCCACGGTCAGAGGGACCATTGATTCGGGTCTTCGGCCACGCTTCAACCAGCGAGGGCCAAGTAAGGCCACCTTCATACACCACGATCCGGAACTGGTGCAAGGAAGCCTTCGCAAAGGTTGGCCTTGGAGAGCTGCAGCTCGGCACACATTCTTTCCGAAAAGGTGCAGCCACAGTAGCAGCCAACACGGGAGTGCCAGACAGGGTCTTCAAAAGGCTGGGCAGATGGCGAAGCGACTAAGCAAAGGAAATGTATGTTACACCATACGTCGAGCCTCTTATCGAATCCTCCTGTAACCTACAAGATCTGACGCATGCCGCGTCATCGGCACAACACACATAGGCACTCGTACGCAACCGGAGGCCCCCGTTGCCCATGTCTCAGAGACCCCATTTGTAATGAGAATGATGCCAATTGATAAGAATAAGAAAGCAAGCTTTCTCAATATTATACTTTTTAAACACACATTGTTTTTTTTTAAATTGTGTGTTGTGAAAGCGAAGCTGCTTGTACTGCACAATTGGCATCGTCGAAGCGCGCTCAACGCCCTTCTCCAACCACAAAAAACGTGGGTTGGATTTCATTTCCCTCCACCCACGTTTTCTCGATTTTCAAACGGCTCACTCAACATTCCCACCACCCACCCCAGAGTAAACCGCCTTGCTAAAGCCACTTGGATAGGGTACATCTTAGCTAGTGTTATTCGATTGCACTAGCTTGTGTTCAACGTTGATGCAAATGTTGTAATAAGCCATTTGTGATGAGAACGATGCCATTTGTAATGAGAACGATGCCAATTGATAAGAATAAGAAAGCAAGCTTTCTCAATTTAATAATTCTTCTACCGTATTCTCCCGGACATAACACCCTATGGTATAGCTAAAAATACAGGGAAAAAATGGGGGGGGGTCTCCTCATAGGAAAAAAATACATAATACCCGGGTCTTTACATATGGCATATTTTAGTGTTAGTGTTTTTTTAATTAGTCAATGTGGGTGTTTTGCTGGTCGTTTTAGCATCACTTCCTGAGGTGCGAATGTCAGTTTCGGCCTCGAACTTCATCGCCCTCACGAAAATTCACCTGACATTTTTGTCACTTGCAACGGAAGATTCACCTGCACGTGGCAACAGAGAAATAGTGGGGAGGGGCAAATCTCGGCAGATTGCCTTTGAATGTACCGCGAAATTTCATTGAGGGAGAAATTCAGACGATATTCTTCCGTATTGCAGCTACTCGTTAACGACTATAGTAATGAATCCGTAAGAAAAGGGGGGTGTTATAGAAAATCAGCCAAAAAGGGGGTAAAGTAGAAACGAGGTCTATCATAACACCCACCCCGCACAAGCTACCCGGGGGTGTACAATTATGGGGGGGTGTTTTGTCCGGGAGTATACGGTATTTCTTGTCCCCTCCTAGCCAATGACCTAGTACGGTACTTGGTTACCAGATGGTGTTTTGCACTGAGTGTTATCGTTATGCAATAAAGATTATGGTATTTGGGTATATGGTGGGTTGTCAAGTTGGCAGCCACCTGGTACTCATGGGATGCTGAGATAGTTTACCAAAGTACACTACCTCAGCATTGCCCAGGCTACAAAAACCATGTTCACTAATTAGAGATTAGCCATGACTAAGGAAAAGTCCAAGACAGTTAACATCGACAAATTACTTATGGTATCAGACACAATCATGCAACTGTACAACGCCACACCATACCCACACCAGTATAGATTTCGGAGCTAACGGCTAATCACAGCACCCTCAGCCAACAGCCAAGGCATCTTGTGGTGGCAGTGGATTGCCAAACTTGTCTTTTTTGGTGCTGCATTAACAGCAGCACCCTCTTGGGACTTGTTGTGAGTTGCCTCACAAGATTGGGTTGACTCTCCCCCATTTCGTCCGTTTAAGTCGTTCTTATCTTCAGTCACTATCCCATTCCCACTGCCACACCCACTTCCTCTCCTGTCACAACCCCCTTCTGCACCCTCCATAGCAACACTGCTGCTGCTGCTGAACCTGCTGCTGCCACTCCCGACAGTCACACTCCCCCCGTCACCAACCCCACCAGTCCCATTCGCTGCACTCCCCCTCTTTACAGTCACATCACCCCCCCTCTCCCGCTGTCTGTCCGGCTTTGGTGACATAGCTCTCTCGATGCGGTTACCAGGCGGGGTGGTGGATCTTTGTAACCGCCGGGGAGGGGGCATGCGAGCCAACAGCCGGTCAAGAGGCGACATATCCTTGTCATTCCCACCCTCCTTCCCTCCCCTTTTCCCCTCTTCTCCACTACCACCACTACCCGGCCCGTCTGTAGAGAACAGACGGCCGGGAGGGTTGTGGAAGAGCGAGGAGGAGGAGGTAGAGGAGGGGTGTGTGAGAGCGGTGAGAGCGGTGGAGAGCGGTGCCGCTTGGTGCAGCACACGGCCTTCGCTGCGGTCAAACGCCGACACCACAAACCCATGCTGCGCCAACTCCTCCAGAAACTTGGGCAGACTATCCGCCCCTCCTCCCATCCCCCCTCCTCCTGCCCCTCCACCTGCTGCTGCACCGTTGCCAGCAGCAGCAGAGTCATCAACGAGCCATGCAAGGGAGGAGGGAGCGGGCATGATATCGGACATGGAGAGAGAGCGCGAGTGCCGCCCCCGCCTGCGCGCCGGGGGCTTGCCTGCTGCTGTGGGCTTGGGCGGAGTGGGGGAGGTACCGGCTGACCCAGCAGCTGCAGCGTCGACGGCTGCAATGGCAGCTGCTGCAATGTCGGCGTGGGTTTGCCTGCGATGCGGGAGAGCTGACAGGAAGGCCGCGTGGTCGTCGGCTGCAGTGCCTGCAGCAGCGGCGGCAGCAGAGGGAGCAGCGGGAGTAGCAGCGGCAGCAGCAGCAAGAGAAGCAGTCATATGCTGCTTCTGCTGCCCTACTGATGTGCTGGCTGCTGCTGCTGCTGCAGTCACGTGAGAGGAGCCAGATGATGCAGCAGCAAGGGCAGCAGCAAGGGCAGCAGCGGAGCGAGGAGGGGAGATGGAGGAAGTGGGAGCGTCAAGCACTTCAGCAGCGGAGGCAGCACGAGGCATTGCGATGCGAGAGGGCGTGGACCGTCCTCCTTCTCCTGCTGCTGCTGCTGCTGCCGCTTCTGCTGCTCCCTCTGCCAGTGCTGCTTCCGGGTCGAAGTTATCGAGGGGAGAGCCGGACAATACGGGAGCAGGGGAGCTACGGCGACGGCTGGAGTACGAAGCTGTCGATCCCAAACCAAATGCCTTGGCTCGGGAAGGGGCCTGCGAGGTGCTGGAGGCTCGGCCGAGGGAGGGAGGCTTGGAGGGGCGGGCACGGATGGGAGGGGGAGGAGGAGGGGGTGTGGATGCTGCGATGACGAGAGAGAGCGAGGAGAGGAGCTCGATTAGAATGGCCTCGAACCGATCCTTGTTGGCGAAATGGAGGGTCTGTAGTGGATGGAGAGGGGCAGCGTGGGGGAAGAGAGAGAGAGATGAGAGGAGAGGAGAAAGGAGAAGAGGAAGGGGAGGAGCGGAGAGGAGAGGAGCTCGATAAGAATGGCCTCCAAAACGATCCTTGCTGGAGAAATGGAGGGTCTGCAGTAGCAGGGTAAGGGGTTGGAGTGGAGGGGAAGAAACAGAGATGAGAAGAGAGGAGGAACGAGAGAAGGGCATGAGCCAGCAGAACATCTGCGCTACCAGCTGCCTCACTGTGGTCTCCAGACCCCTCCCACGCCCATCCCATGCCCCTCCCACGCCCACACCCACACCCACCTGCACGAGCAGCCCGCGCTGTTGCCCCGCCACCCTGGCGCTGTGAGAGCGATCATTGACCCACTTTTGAGTCGACTCAATAGTCGCCGTGAGAGCGATCGTTGACCCACTTTTGAGTCGACTCAATAGTCGCTGTGAGAGCGATCATTGACCCACTTTTGAGTCGACTCAATAGTCGCTGTGAGAGCGATCATTGACCCACTTTTGAGTCGACTCAATAGTCGCTGTGCGAGCGATCATTGACCCACTTTTGAGTCGACTCAATAGTCGCTGTGCGAGCGATCATTGACCCACTTTTGAGTCGACTCAATAGTCGCTGTGCGAGCGATCATTGACCCACTTTTGAGTCGACTCAATAGTCGCTGTGCGAGCGATCATTGACCCACTTTTGAGTCGACTCAATAGTCGCTGTGCGAGCGATCATTGACCCACTTTTGAGTCGACTCAATAGTCGCTGTGCGAGCGATCATTGACCCACTTTTGAATCGACTCAATAGTCGCTGTGCGAGCGATCATTGACCCACTTTTGAGTCGACTCAATAGTCGCTGTGCGAGCGATCATTGACCCACTTTTGAGTCGACTCAATAGTCATTGTGCGAGCGATCATTGACCCACTTTTGAGTCGACTCAATAGTCGCTGTGCGAGCGATCATTGACCCACTTTTGAGTCGACTCAATAGTCGCTGTGCGAGCGATCATTGACCCACTTTTGAGTCGACTCAATAGTCGCTGTGCGAGCGATCATTGACCCACTTTTGAGTCGACTCAATAGTCGCTGTGCGAGCGATCATTGACCCACTTTTGAGTCGACTCAATAGTCGCTGTGCGAACGATCATTGACCCACTTTTGAGTCGACTCAATAGTCGCTGTGCGAGCGATCATTGACCCACTTTTGAGTCGACTCAATAGTCGCTGTGCGAGCGATCATTGACCCACTTTTGAGTCGACTCAATAGTCGCTGTGCGAGCGATCATTGACCCACTTTTGAGTCGACTCAATAGTCGCTGTGCGAGCGATCATTGACCCACTTTTGAGTCGACTCAATAGTCGCTGTGCGAGCGATCATTGACCCACTTTTGAGTCGACTCAATAGTCGCTGTGCGAGCGATCATTGACCCACTTTTGAGTCGACTCAATAGTCGCTGTGAGAGCGATCATTGACCCACTTTTGAGTCGACTCAATAGTCGCTGTGCGAGCGATCATTGACCCACTTTTGAGTCGACTCAATAGTCGCTGTGCGAGCGATCATTGACCCACTTTTGAGTCGACTCAATAGTCGCTGTGAGAGCGATCGTTGACCCACTGCAGGGTGGCCTAGGAGATGCGCATGAGCCAGCAGACTATCTGCGCTGCCAGCTGCCCTACTGTGCGCTCCCATCCCCCCCCACTTCCCCCCACCCTGACACCCACCTGCACCAGAAGCACTCTCTGCCGCCCCGCCACTCTTGCACTGTGGGAACGGTCATTGACCCACTGCAGCGTGGCCTGGCTGAAGGGCATGAGCCAGCAGAACATCTGCGCTGCCAGCTGGCGCAGCTCCCCCAGCAGCACCTCGTCCAGGGGGCGCCGCCGGGACACACGCAGGCGGGAGTGCAGCTGGTGGCGAATGAATGTGGGGAGCATGAGATAGAGGTCCTTCCTGGGAGGGATAGGGTGGGGAGAGCAGGGGGTTTCGGGGGGTAAGGTGGGGAGAGCAGGGGGTTTCGGGGGGTAAGGTGGGGAGAGCAGGGGGTTTCGGGCAGTTGGGAGGGATGGCAGGCAGACGCGAAGGCGATTGAGTGCAGTTGGTGGCGAATGAACGTGGGGAGCATGGCGTAGAGTTCTTTCCTGTGGGGGGGAAAGGAAACGGGGGAGGGCAGAAGGGTGAGATGCTCGTTTGCTTTGGCTCAGCACATGCGCGCGCGTACAGCATGGGCAGCCCTGCCTGCCCCATTGCGCCCACCAGGTCACCGCCGGAGGGGATAGTAGGGGAGAGCCGAAAACCCATGCTACCCGCTCACCTCTTGTCTGTGAAAGCAGGGGTCCCAGGCATGGTAACAGCCAACTGACTGACAGCAGCTAGCACACGCGCGTACAGCATGGGCAGCCCCGCCTGCCCCACTGTGCCCTCCAGGTCGTCTGGCCCTATGGGGTCCGGCCACCCATACACCTCCCTCAGATGCTGCCAAAGAATGCCGACCGCCACCGCCAGGGTCTGTTGATAGTTGAAAGACGAGCGGAATCGGGTCAGACAGGGAAGAAGGTTGGATGAAGTGATGAAAATAGAAGACATTCCAACAAAGCGGTGAAGCAAGCAACTATGTACATACAAGCAACTAAGCAAGCGTAATACAATGAAGCGGTCACGAGATCATTGTTACTTCAAAAGGAGATTTCGGTGTTTTCAAGCAAGCATTCCAATCCAAAATGAAGCGGCAGCTGAAGAAGCACCCAGGAAGGGATGGATTAGGAACATCCCAGACAGAGAGAGCAGTGGGAGGGAGCAGCGGGAGCAGCAGAAGCAGAGGAAGCAGAGGAAAAAGAGGGAGGGAGCAGAAGAGAAGAAGCAGAAGGAGCCGAAGAACCCACCTTGGCCATTCTCTCAAGGCTGTGCGACCATAGGGAGCTCCTCTGCAGCTGCTGCACCTTCTGCCCCTGCATGGTTGCACATGGGTGCGAATGGGTGCGCATGATTGCGCATGGGTGCGCATGATTGCGCATGGGTGCACATGATTGCGCATGGGTGCACATGATTGCGCATGGGTGCACATGATTGCGCATGGGTGCACATGATTGCGCATGGGTGCACATGAGTGCGCATGGGTGCACATGAGTGCGCATGGGTGCACATGATTGCGCATGGGTGCACATGATTGCGCATGGGTGCACATGAGTGCGCATGGGTGCACATGAGTGCGCATGGGTGCACATGATTGCGCATGGGTGCACATGAGTGCGCATGGGTGCACATGATTGCGCATGGGTGCACATGATTGCGCATGGGTGCACATGATTGCGCATGCGTGGACATGGGTGGGCATGGTTGCGCATGGGTGGGTGGGCGGCAATATTGGATGCATAGCATGATGTGTGCTGTTGTGCACCAATCAATGCCAATCAATGCCATCCAATGCCACCCAACGCCACGCAAGGCCATCTAATCTAATGCACCCAATGCCATCCACCGCCCAATGCCATCCAGTGCCATTCAATGACATTCAAGGCCATCCGATGCCATCCAGTGCCATTCAATGACATTCAATGCCATCCGATGCCATCCAGTGCCATTCAATGACATTCAATGCCATCCGATGCCATCCAGTGCCATTCAATGACATTCAATGCCATCCGATGCCATCCAGTGCCATTCAATGACATTCAATGCCATCCGATGCCATCCAATGCCACCAGTGCCATTCAATGCCATTCAATGCCACCCAATCTTGCCTGGGTGACGAAGTATTCCTCGGGGTACGACTGTGTGGGCCGCGTATCCTCAAACGAGTATGCATCGCCCTCAGATGACGTGCTGATGGGGAGGCAAGGAAACGGAGAGGGGGTTGAGGGGGACAAGACAAGACAAGGACAGCAGTCATCAGAATAAGTATGTGTGGGTTGATTGTCCTCAAACGAGTATGCATCGCTGTAAGATGACGTGCTGATGGGAGAGGGGGGAAAAGGGGGGAAAAAAGGGTAGGGGGAAAGTGGGGAAAGAGGGGAAAGGTGAGGGAAAGGGGGGGGAAAGGGGGAAGTGGGGGGGTGGGGAGGAAGTTAGGGCACGAAGGGGTAAGCAGCGGATGAGCTCAGTGGGGGGGGTGTGCAGAGGTGTGAGGGGGTGAGTGGGGAGCGAGGGGTTTGTTGATAAGGGAGCTTTTGGCAGGTTAGCACGAGGAAAAAAAGGGGTTTCAGGGGGTGTGGAGTGGTGCAGCATGATGGCGCGAACGAAGGGCAGGTAGCGGGTGATGGAAGGAGGAAGGAAGACCACTGTAGTTTTGGTTACCAGTCGCAGGGTAACTCACATGTGCAAGCAAGCAGGCAAGCAAGCAAGCAAGCAGCTGGACCCACAAAAAGAAAGGCACCCTTACTCGCTATGCCGATCCCCACCCACCTGGCAATGGCCTCATCCAGAGCTTCCATTCTCGCTTCAGTATGCATGTGGGCCCTCTGAGAGGACTCGACCTTCCATAACCCCTCTCAATCCCTTCACCTCACCTTGCCATACCTTCAAACTCACCTGGCAATGGCTTCATCCAGTGCCTCCATCTCGCGCTTCAGAATGCCCGTTGGCCCCAGATGGTCTCGCAGGAACCTGAATATGCACATTCACATGCACATGCACATGTACAGTATCGGGTACAGATGCACACACAAACATGCATGTACACACACACATGCACACACACAAGTGCACACACACAAATGCCTACACACACATGCACGCATACAAATGCAAGTTAACAAGTTCGCCCTTGTACCCTGTGGTTCTGCCTTTAAGCTTCCCTCTGCAACCCCCCACTCCTCCCCACCCTTTCGCCATCGCCTCATCACTACATCCCCTCTGCCTTCCCCACGGCCTTCTCTATCTCCTCCCTCCTCCTTGCATGTGCCCTCAGCACGTGCTGCAGCTGCTGCCTGGGCCCCCCATCAGACTTACTCTCCCCCCCAACACTCACTTTCTCCTTTACCCCGCCTTCTGCCATTTTACACCCCCCTGCTCCCCTTTCCTCCCCTCCCCCTCCTTCTCCCCCCTCCTCACCTCATAACTTCATCCGCCTCTGCCTTCCCCACGGCCTTCTCCCTCTTCTCCTTCCTCCTCGCATGCGCTCTCAGCACCTGCTGCACCTGCCCCCCCACCGCCCCCCCACTTTGCCGAGCCAATGCCGCCACCCCAGCTGTCAGCAGTAGCAGCTCGTTGGAATACTCTAGGCCTGGGAGGTGGAAATCGGTGGAAATGGGTGGGGTGGGTGGGGATGGCTCGAACGAGAGTGGGGAGAATCGTAGAGAGGAAGGAGTTAGTTACTTCGAATGGCTCTTAAAAGTTGCAGGTCAGCTTCTAACCCAACAAAACCGTTTGGCAATCCCAACCCATTTCTGACTGCTAGAAAAATGCCACCCCGTTTTGGCTGCTGACCAAACCCCTACTTAACCATAAGCAAAGCTCCCAACCCCTTCTTGACTTGTCTCACCTGCCATGCGCCACCGGAAGGTGAAGTCACCCACTCCCAGTCTCTCCAGGTTCTCACTCTGCCCCCACCATGCATGCACAACACGGGACACAGCACACGCGCACAGGTGGACACAGCACACGCGCACACACACGCACGGATAAGTTTACTTAGATGTAACCGGTTCCGCAAAAGTAGCTTGTTGTTGAAAAGCATTCCTCTCAGTTTCAGCTTGTTGTCCTGTTTGAACGCTCCTCAGTAACAGAAATTGTCCGTGGCTTTCCATGTGTTGTGAAAAGCAGCCTCGAGCTTCATCCGCCACTGCGCACCTGAAGCTGCTGCCTCAGCTCTGCCACGTGTCCGGGCTCCAATTGGCTCCAGAGATCCAGGACCCGGTGCATCAGCCCCGCCACCTCGAACGCCAAGATGCCCATCGGACGGCTGAGATCGCTGCACGCGATGCTCCTCACTCCGCCTCCGCCAGTGCCACCACTACCGCCGCCGCTTTCGGCGGTGCTGGTAACGCTGCAGCTGCATACGCCACCAATGTCACCGCCATTGCTGGTGCCCGTGCTGCTGCTCGTAGCGTTGCTGCTACCACCGCCATTGCTGCTGCTGCTAGTGCTGGTAGCGGATAGGGTGCTGACGCTGCTGCTGCTTTTGGAGTTGGTAATCCCCGATACTGCTGGTTTCCTTACTAGGCTATTAGAACCAGTATCGTTGATTGGTGGAAACTCCGCGTTTACTAACGTGTCGATCACACTGACCTGGTTACCCATGTAACACAAGCTATTGAGGCATTCTAGTGCGTGGTAATGAGAATACGGAGACTATCATTTTCTAACCTAAGTATGTTGGGTCGCTTTATACGTCATAATGGTTTGAATCGGTTGAGTGCAGCCGTCGAAGAACGCAGACTATCTGACTCGCAAACTTCAAACGAGAGTAACGATACGTGAAATGCGGACTCGCTGGCGCGTCGTCGAGCCTATCTGACGAGTTCAACAAAACGGACTGAAACAGAACTGCATTGAAAAACGAAACCGAGGAGATGAGACAGTCTCTCAGTAGGTTTTATACCAGGTCGGCCATTCGTTGCGTGACAGCAGGTCTTCGAAAACTGAAGCGCGATGCCTGGCAGTTGGCTTGACAGCACAGAAAACGCGAATTCTACCCTGCTCTGGCCGGGCTATGCTGCTGTTTAGGTCGAGTCATATCCGTTCGTGGTTCATTTTTGGTGCGCAATGGTCTAAAGCGGTGGAATTTGAAAACCGCTCTCAAACGTGGTGTGACCGTAATAAACCGCGTCAAACGAACCGTGCACTGATATGTCTGGGCCTTAGGACTAGCAGGCTTAGGCGACAACAAGGAACGGCTGTCTTGCTGTTTTGGAAACTTGATGGTGAATTTATGACAGCCATAGGCAATTCACTCCCACCCACACGTACCACTGTAATCAACGTAGAATATATTCGATATTAGCAGAAGAAGCACATTGCTTTTACAAGGACAAACCCTGACAGACAGCCCACAGTTCCAGTTTCACGCCTGTCGTGAAAGGTGGAACAGATGCGTCGCCTCGCCAGAGGACATGTGTGGCGCGCAGCGACGACCGTCAAGGTGTTGACGGAACGAACTGCCAACAAGCAAACTGGATTAGAGACCTGCCTTTTCACCTGCTGTTACAGAGTTCATGATAACATTATTACATTCAACCTTACAGAGTTACTAATGTGCACATACATGTTTTGCACATTACGCTACCTAGACAAATTGAGGGGATTATGCACAGCGCCAGACATGGCACGGGGCAGGGAATTCGGCACCAACACGTACTTGCCCCTGACGCCCAGCTTTCTGAGCACCGACTTCAACTGCTGGCGGTTCATTGTGCGGGGAACCACAGCATCCACGCCCGCATGCATGCACTGCTGCATGGCTTGGTCCAGCCCTGCCAAGTCCCACCTGTTCATATTCGCCACCGCTATAACGACCGTGCGTGAAACAGGATACACACCCCCTGAACTTTCCTGTAGTGAATCAGAAGCAACCACTCCAGCTGCTCCTGCTAATGCTGCTGCTTCTACTGGGCTGCTGATTGCTACTGCTGCTGCTGCTGATCGTTCTGTGTTTGCCTCAGCGCCACTCAAACAACCACCAGCATCAGGCTCAGCAGCACCAACCCCTGGAAACTGGTTACCATCAGCATCAGCATCAGCATCAGCACAGTCTTCCCCATTCCTGACCTTCCCTGCGTGCCGTCTCCCCTCGGCATCGCGAATGCTGCGGATGCATGCGAAGCCATCATGTGCCATGGCCTGCTCACCAGCACAGCATAAAACACGAATTTAGAATTCCAATCCTCCAAAAACCACGAAGCATGTGAGATGTCTGTTTCTGAGGCACCTAAAAAACTTCACAAAACAGAAGTGAAACGCCACTGTAAATACGCAAGGCACCCACATGTGGACAACCATGCTGCGTGGCTCACCTCCAGCTCCATGACCACAAGAGAGAAGGGCGCCTCTGGCTTCACTCCTGCCTCCTGTGCAACCACTGCCATACTCTTGTCACTTGATGCCACACCCTCTTGAACTCCTTCTCCTGATGCTGGCCGCTGGTCAAGTGGTGACTCGTCTGCGGAAGCTTCCTTTAGCTGTTGCTTGCTTCCCCCACTCCCATTGCTCTCTTCAAACCCGTCGCGTTGTTGCACTGTCTCATCAGGTGGCAGGTCGCACACAGACTGTTGAAATCGTCGCACAGCTTCTGTGACTGTACCCGCCGTGACAACATCGAAGCCACACCGCTCCAGCTGCTGCGGCAGGTCGTTGTGCAGCGCGCCCACCAGCCCCAATCCCGCGCCGCCACCTGTTGCCCCGTCAGCCACCAGCGCACGAACACAGAGAGAGGTAGACAGTGGCAACGAGGTGGTCTGGGAAGACGGGGCATGGGAGGAGGGTATTGGAGCTGATGGGGGGAAGGCGGCTGATGAGGGCATGTCAGCAGATAAGAAGGCAGTCGTGCCAGTTGCTAGTCTGTCGGTTGCAAGCATACAGCTGGCTCTCTCTCGCTTCCCATCCACCAGCATGTTTCTAGCACTACCGGTATTGCATACTGCTGCTGTTACACCTGCTGCTGCTGTTGCTGCTGCTGCTCCTGCTCCTTCTGATGCTGCCTCGGCCCTTTCCAACCCTTCTGCAATCTCTGACGCAGCACCATCACCATTCCCAGCACCAGCAGCAGCAGCAGCAGCAGCATCACCATCATCATCCCCACCAGCAGTTAAAGCCGGGCAAACATTGGCTGTCGGTGACAGGGCAGCAGAGGACTGCAGTAGAAGGGCGTCAGGTTCCCACCGGGGAGAGAGGAGAGGGTATGGGGAGTGGGCCAGAGGCGACAGCAGCTGCACAGGCGTCAACAAGGGGTTGCTTCTGTCAAGGAGGAAATTACCCGTCCCCTTCCCTTTCCCCTGCTCTCGTTGCGCGCTTCCCTCCCCTCCAAACGTCCTCTCGCCCCCGTTGCTGCTGCATCTCTCAGCGGTAGCACCGGCAGGGCGCAGCACATCAGCTGCTCGCCGCCGCTGCACGCGAATGGCTGGCAGACCCTCACGCTGCCTCCCGCCTGCACCGTGCCCCACTGCCCCGGGCTGACTCGCTGCTGCAGGCTGGATCGGTGCTTCTGCTGCAGCAGGGGCATTGGCAGGAGAAGGAGCAGCAGGAGATGCACCAGCAGGAGCGGGGGTAGGAGCAACAGGAGTAGTAACAGCAGCAGGAGGATCAGCCGGAGCTGCACCCATAGGAACAGCAGCAGCAGGAGCAGCAGAAGCAACAGCGACAGCAGAAGAGCCAGGAGTGGCAGGAGCAGCACTAGTCGTGCTCACTCCAATCTTAGACCGCATTTCCGTTACATTCGGAACACAGAGAATGCTCGAGGACGGTGACTGGGGATTGGAGGAGTGCGAAGTACACAGCAGATGAAACCGTTCTGCCTCCAGCTCACAAACCTGGCGTTTCAACTCATACTCACTCTCGTCAAAGTGCAACCTGGGCGAGCGTTTCATGTCCAGAGCCAGGGGTTTCATCTCACAAGGTACGGGTGGAATGGAAAGAGGATGCGCAGGAGTACATCTGACGCTCCTAGGGTCTACAGCTGCAGGTACAAGGTGGACCGGGGCAGGTGGAATGGGCAAGGATGACATGGGTGTCTTCACCTTCTCTAGCACGGGGGCTTGTGACTCGGGGGCTTGTGAGGGTTGAGACGAGGAGGCACTCGAGTTGCGTGAGACCGTGTGAGACGAGACGGCATGGGAAGAGATGGTGTGCGAGGCATTGGAAGGGAGGAATCTGCGTGTCGCTCCCACGCCGCTGCTCTCCAGTACCTCCCTAGAGGGGAGAATCTCCCTGGGCGTGTGCAGCTCCGGGGGTCCCCTCACCCCCTCGGGAATGTCGCCTGGCGATTCTGATGATTCTGGCGATGCTGCTGGTGATGCTGGTGCTGGTGATGCTGGTGGTGGAGATGACGCTGGTGATGCCATTCCATCTCTTCTGTCCATTTCACATACGCTTACTCTCACTCTCACACTTGGTCTCTCCCTGTTCCCCTCTCTCCCCGCTTCTTCCTGCATTGCCCATTCTCGCTCAACCCTCTTGACTCCATAACCACCGTCGGATCCGGGCGAGGTGATCAGATCGCACGGTCGGGAGTGACTGAAAGGGGAGAGACAAACAGGGGAGTTGCAACGAGGAGAGACAGGGGAGTGACAAGGCAAGTCCCTTTCCTCTTTGCTGCTGCGTCTGCTGCCACGCCTCTTCTCACCCACCCTCTCCTCCCTTCCAACCGCACCTCCCTTATTCAGCCCCCCACTGCTGCTGCCACTGCAGCGACTGAATATACTGCTGTGACCCTCTCGTGTATTCTCCCCGGCCTGGCTGCTAAACCCCCGTCCCCAGTTGTCCCCTCCCCCTCCTGCCTCCAGCTCTCTTACTCCTGCTCCTCCCTCTCCGTCCGTCTGCTGTATCGCTGCACACGAAGCAACTCTCTGCTCCCCACCAGCGTGAGCCGAGCCAGCAGCAGCGGCAACGACGGGGGCAGCAGCCACCGTCGCGACTGCTGTAGTAGCAGTGCCGGCTGCAGCAGCAGCAGCAGCAGATGGTCGAGGTGGAGTGACAGCAGCACGTGCGGTGACAGGAAGTGGCATGGGCGAGGGCGTGGGCATGGGAGGGGGTGTGTGGAGTGGCATGACGACGCACAGCACACCGTTGGCTGCCCCCACGGCGTCTGTGCGCATGCACGCGTGCACCTGCACACACACCTCCCGCCCAGGCGACGATTGCTCGGGCAATCTCTGTCCAGTTGCCGCCTCGCCAGGTAACACCTTCCTCAGCAGCGCCTGCTCTTGCCTCGGAAGCACCTGCTGCCGTGCATCGCATTCTGTTTCGCGTTCTGTGTCGCATGCTGCGTCGCATTCTGTATCGCGTTGAGAGCGCGTGGCGAGCAGCATGGTCTGGCTGATGGGCTCTGGTCGCAGCATTGCGTCACGCAGCACGTCGCTCGCGTGCCTTGGGAATGGAGGCGAATGGGAGAGAGGACGAGGGAGAAAGGGAGAGGGAGACATATTGATGAAGGACTGCTCGAAAGAGGGGAGCGTCCATTACGAGGCAAGTTGGGGCGGAGATATGGGGAGGGAGCGGGGAGCGAGGGAGAATAGTAGATGATGGGAAAGAATTACGGCTCTGCTGACTTGGCTCGGCCCAGCAATTTGACCAACATATTCCCTGCTTTCACTCCCACCCTTCTCTCCCCCTCCCCCAATTCCCTCTTCTACCGTCTCCAGTTCCTCTCCCCACTCACTCGTGCACAGACCCCTTCGCGGGTCGCAGCAGCCTTCCCGGGAACCTCCCCATCTGCGCCACGTCATCCCGGCTCCAGCCTGTCAGCTTCGCCATTCGTCGGTTCCACATCACAAATGTCAGGTCCCTGCCGGGGATGGCGGCGGAGGGGCGAGATGGGAGGTGGGAGAGGGACACAAGGAGGCCCAGGGTAAGTTGGGAGCAAATACGCCTGTTGAAATCAAGAAACAGACAAAAGAGTGGAATAATGGTTTCTGAGGGGCTCTTCACATGCAATCGCTTGTTGCCTGACCTACTAACCTGTTCGTACCTACTGCAATCGCGCCTACACTCACCTATCCACGGCGAAGGCGGCGACAGGCAGTTCGTCGGCTGGGATCAGCGAATCAGGGCACCATCGGAATCGACGGTCGTCAGACGGCGACGCCATCTGCGGCCCGGCGAGCTCCAGCACGAAGTCTAGCGCTGCGCGCCGGTGCGCGCTACTATCCTCCTCCTCTTCTTCCACGTCGTCCCCCTGCCTGCTGCGCAATCCGCCGCCTTCTCCGCCGTCGCTTGCGAAACTATCCCCGCCGCTGCCATTGCTGCTGCTACTGCCACCGCTGCTGCTGAGGCGGGGACCGCGGGGAGAAGCGGGAGCGTGCGGAAGCGAACTGAGCGGATTGCGCGGCGGATTTCGCGGATTAAGCTGCGGATGGTGAGACTCCCCGGGTGAACTGAGGGGAAGTGTTGACAGCAGCGGCAGCGGCGGCGGCAGCGACGGCGGCAGCGACGGCGGCAGTGGCGGGGTCTTAGATAGCTGCCGACGAGTGGCGACTACAGCGTCGTTTGCGGCGAGCGAGCATAAGAAGTCGGAGGAATTATCGACCCGGGTTGGCAAAAGCGCGGGAAAAACTGGCCACTGCTTCGGCTGCGTGAACGACGGAGGACGAGGGAGAATGAGACTGTTTGATTGACATGTCGACGTAGGGAAATGGCGAGGCGGGTCAATTTGCTGACGTGGAACGGTTTTTGGCTGACAAGGCATGCTAAGGAGGTCCGTCCATCCTTGTGAGCACGTAGAATTGTCTCCAAACGGAACGCTGTAATCGCGCCACGTGTCGTCCGGGCACCCTGGAGCCATGTCTTGCCACGTGTCGCGCATCCGCACACACGTCGAGGTTGAAGAGAACAGCTGTGATTGTGCCGGTTGATGGGAGAGCCACTTGGACATGTGACTTCAGTGAGCAACGGAAGGACTGAAGAGAGTCGTTCGTAACAAGCGAAGCCACACTGAGGTGAAGCGAATGGCATATGTTTCTATGAATAATTGGGTTCGTTTAGAGTCGTTTCCTGTGACTCTCTCGTTAAAACTAACATTGCGTCTGTACGACCGATATCTGAAGAAAACGTGGGAGAAGACAGAGGCTAGTAAAAGCTGTGACATACACAACAAGGTACGAAATCAAGAGGTTATACTGTATTACGGAATAAACCAGCGACCCAGGAGATACTTATGTGTGACGAGAACACGAAGGCCAATCCCTGAGCCAAGGATGTGCCGTTTTGACTTAGCTACTCGCTCGGGTTGTTCGATAGGTATTGAGGATTTAGTCATTCCCGACTTGATCAGCGAAAACACTAAAAAGAAGCTTGCCATGGCACATAGTTTCAAGCCTGCCTTGCCGCTTTTCTCCCACTGGGTTTGCTGCGGCAATCTCAAGGTTTCCCAGGCAGGCACCTACCCTAGACCCATTGGCACCGATCTGTCATCTGCAAGTACAGTTCCATCTCTACACCATGGTGCACGCGAGGGTGAGCTTCCCAAAAGCGGGGAAGGAGATGCTTTGGTGAGTTGGATATTTCTGAGCTGAACCGCGTTTGTCATGAACTACCTTCAGCCTTCAGTCGTCGCCAACCAATCAATGTGCTTTGTGCGAAACTGAGTTGTTGAAGCTGTCCAGAATAAGCGAAACCTTGCGAAAGTATCTGGTGCTCTCAAGGGTGCATCATTGTCCTAACACCGACCGTAGCTTCCCGCGGGCAGCGGGGGACCGGTGAATCACAGACGCGCTTCGCTCATTGTGTGGAGGGAGCGTGTTTCTGCTGACAGTCAGGCAGGCACCCCTTCCATCTGGGATTGGCCCGAATCGAATCGCTCGCCAAGCTGGAACGAATTGTACTGTTTAGCGAATAATATGTCTTTATGCGGGCAAAGATGTCA